ACCAACAAGGCCACCATTTCGATATGGCGAATGTAAAGATCCTAGCACATGAAGTAAAAAACACGGGAGCGAGTTTTTGGAAGCCTGGTACTCTAAAACGAACTTAACCAATCGACACATCGAACTGGCCACAGTATACGCAACACTACTAGCGAACGACCACCTACTCGAGCGATTGAATCCGGTGAAACGTGTGACTAGACAACCAGAACTGACGACAGACGCACTCACTATACCATTCCACGGCCAAGTTGTCCTCTTGGGCAACAGAATTAATCTGAGCGGCCAAGGAGTTCCGCTGAGGAGCATACAAGATGAGTCTTTACTCAATTACTTTGAACCGTGCGTGCGCCACTTACATGTGTAGACGTGTAAGAGTACGTGTATTACCCGGCGCATCCAGCCAATTGGACCTCAGACGCACTAAGTCATAGGGGTGCAGGTGGGACGCTTCAGCTCCTACCAGCGACAGTGTCAGTGGCCGATGCACCACGTGGGCCTTTGTTTCTCTGTCCTATTAAGCGATTCCCACCAAGTAGAACGAGAGTAGGGATTTGAATGACGAGTGAGTTAGTATAACGAGCCACAGCCAAGTAAGTCTGCCGTATGCTTTCGAATGTGCAGTTCATCTAAACGCAATGATTGGCTTGCATGTTCGGCAGTAGAGGGAGGTGAAGGACGTCATACTGAAAGCGTACGAGGAAGGAGACGATTGGAAGCAGGTCGCTTGCATACTGAAGATGAACGTGAAAACTTGCCGCAACTGGATATGTACGTACGAATCGACGGAACCGGTGGGGCAGCACGGGGGAGTCCGTCGCAGAGCACTGGGAGAAAGCCACCTCGACTCTCTGGTGGAGTGGGTTTCTGCGGAGCCTACCGTTACCCTTGAACTCCTTCGTTTGCGGTTGAAGGCGGAGTTCGAACTTTCAGTAGGTACCAGCACCGCCTCACGATACTTGGATGGTAGACTGATAACAATGAAGAAATTGCACACCATTCCGGGGTCCATGAACACGGTGAAGAACAAAAAGCGACGCAGATCATCCATTTTGCAGCTCATGGATTACGAGGTAGAAGAAAGGCAACCGGTGTGGATTGATGAGACCAACTTCAACTTATTTTGCTCCCGCACTCGTGGCCGCTCAAGACATGGTAGTCGAGCGCAGTGTACAGTGGCGAACAGCCGGGGACCGAATATTCATCTTGTCGGCGCCATGACAAACAACGGTTTGCTAGCGTGTCCGGTACTGCGAGGAAGTTACAACAAGCGAAGATGCGCTCAGTGACTGCGACAAGTGCTTGATACCAACGGAGCAGGGTTTGTGGAAAGGTGTCTTTTGATTTGTGACAACGCGCCCTGTCACACGCACCTGGAGCACGTTTTCCTGGAGGAACGGTACCGCTCTGGGAGACTTCTACGCCTTGCTCCATCCTCTCCAGCTCTCAATCTCATCGAGGGCATCTGAAACATAATAAAGGCTCATGTAAAACAGGCAATGAGGGGATGGTACTCCGAGATGCATCTGGGGAACCTGAAGGCGTTATGAAAAAAAGCGAGTGGCGGATTCGTTTTTTTGGAGCACATGGTGTCTGAAGCACGGGCCTTAGTGATGCAGCAGCACGGCCAACAAATGGCTCAGCATGTCAGTAAGAATTATGGACGTGTTGTTCATATGGCCGATCTGTAAAACATTCTGTTGGCAGTAAACTACCTGTTCTAAGCGAGTGTTGTTCTTACATTATTATGATGACGGGTCAGAGTGCACTTTATACCCTGCTAGAAATAGCCAGTTCTCTAATTGTGGGAAAATCGTGGATTTCCGGTAAGTTGGTGCGTGTGGTCGCGTCGCACACCCATTTTAGTTGCCGCGTTGTAAAACAATCATGTGAGAGCTTGACAAACAAATGCCACTCTAACACGGTTGTGTAAAAAGCAATTATATTCTACCGCCTGTCGTTGATTGTATTTGGAGAGCCAGTGGATAAGGACTTTGATAAGGGTATAATAAATAAGGAAATTGAACTATGCAGACTTGACGGACATGGGTAGTTTGTGTGGCCGTTTGCCGGATTGCTTAACCCATTACACCAACGCAGGCGGCTGGACGCTGCATGCGGAAACGCAGAGCATGTAGGGCAAGCACAACTAACGTTTATCGCGTTCTCTAGGGAAATATTTCTAGATGGTTATTTGTCAGTTGTGGACTGTATTCGAACACACCACAGGGTTGCAGGGAGAAGGTGCTTTGAAGCTGCAAATAAAATGTACTCGCTTCGGCGAATCACATTTACTCGTCGGGTTGTAACGTCTGCACAGGGATGAGTGGCTCCGCATGATGCAAACTAGTCCGTGCGTTCATATGGCATTTGCCATTTGCAAGTGGAGGTTGCTATTTCGCTCCAACCCAATTCTACGTGGGTCAGTGGTGCGGTTATAGCCGGACATCTGTTGCAAGCATCTCTCGTGCGTGTTATCATCATCCATCCACACACATCAGGCTCCGTCCCCCATCGCCAGCTGTGACTACACCGTGCAGCTAACCACGAGATATAAATCAGGCGCACTCTCCATCCACCTCCGGCTCCCAGTAGGTGGTTGTTATGAAACGGTCCAGCGGCCTACCAAGTATCTGTTTCGCCCTTCAACCCCCTGGGTCTTTGACAACTCAATGTAGGCCGGGATACGGAAGCCCTGGGTACTCTCATCATGACACAAATTACATTAGGCGAGCGATCTGTCGAAACTTAGTTTCAGTGTTGTTCGCGGGAAAATGAGCGGTTACCTTACGTCCTTAGTTGCTATCGGCTAAAATTTCACATGTTTTACTGACACATTCAACTAAGCGCTTTTCATCAGGAACGTCATCTAAATCGTTGTTAACCAGGCGATGCAGCTCCGGTGTAAGCGGTTTGGTTTTCAGTGCACTCGGTTTGAGCTTGGATGAGCAACTATCGATGATTGAGCTATGGTATCGTTGCTGGTCTCACAACACGTGATCATTCTTATTGACGGGAGTTTGCATTATGTAGGCGAAGTGATGACTAATGCGCTTTGAATAGGTTTAATTGTTTCGTTTGCAGAGGCGCAGTATGGGGGCGCGTAGGCGGTCCGCCCAGGGTGGCACGTGACACGGGGCCGCATTTTTATTACCGTCGTATGTTGGATACCATGCCCCATGCTGAGGCTGATGTCGCATTCATGGTGCTTCACCGCAGTCTGGCTAAGCAAACTTACACTTAAACTAGGTCTCTTTAATGTGGATAAAATTCATTACAATGTATTTTCTTTTTGTTCTGCCTACTTGATTATCTTCTCCCAACTTACACACGTCGCTCATGCAAATTGTGGTAAACTTGCGTAATTTTATCGCGTGGTATTTTTTAACTAACTTTCGGACATTTTGTACTTATCGCGTATTCACATTTACCCAGTTTCTTCCATATGCTCATCTAGCGAGTGTTTATGTCGTCATATGCGTTTACTTTATTCGATATCGGCATTTCGAATGATTGGTTGCTGTTTGACATTCCAGGTGTGGCTGCGCTTGATGTGCATGTTGACAAGGTGCCTACCTGTCGATTACCCACTACCTCGTCCATCTGGTTCCAGACAGTTGGTCGTTGCTGGAGGGGACGGGGTACACGGTCCTTGTGGCCGTGTTCGGATCAAAGAGTGGTTCCATGCACTCAGTGTGGAGCGGACTACAATCCAGCCACCGCCTTGTGTGCGCTTGATTCCTAAATAGAGCGTGCTTGTGTTTGTCTCTGAAGGAGTGTGGGCCGGCTCCGTTGATGAAACGTGGCTCCCATCCGCATGACTCCCGGTCTTATTCCCTCGGGTTTACACTGGATATGGGGTGTGTGGATGGAGCTGTGGGTGGTGCAGCGCAGCCATCCATGGTCCCTCTGTAGACGCAGGCATCCTGTGGCTGGCCACAGTGACAGGCAAATCCGAAACCTGATGCCGCTAACCAAGTTGGATACCAAATAGGAAGGACAAATTATCCGGATAAGCTGTGGGTTGTATATTTTAAGTAATTGAGTAAAGACAACGTGTATGCTCCTCAGCAGAACTCCTTGGCCGTTCAGATTAATTCTGTTGCCCAAGAGGACAACTTGGCCTGTTAGTGGTATTGAGCAAGCAGAAAAAGACCATGAAATACATTGGATCGAGATCAAAGGTCATCTGCCCATCAACCAAGCTGAACGCGGTTGGATGTTCCAACCCATAGGATTGCTCGTCTCCATAGGTATCCACGGCGGTACAAATACGCAAGCACACCACACGCGACACACTCACACCGAGGTTCCGCTACGCTACTGCACGACACTCAACTACGAATTGACGATGTCACCTCGATTTGTGACGAAACGTTTACAACAAAGTTGCCGAACTCATCGAACTGTTCAACCACCACGCTATTTTTGTATTTTCTCTTCTGTAGATCTTGCAAATTTTTGTTTTTTGCTTAGTGTACGCCATTTAACTACTATCCTCTTTTCCTGGCAATGTTTAATTCTACCAGTCTTGCGCAAAGTTTTGGAATTTCTCAAATTTGATGTTCGCAGCTCCGAGGCAAATGTTAGAGTGCAGTCCACGGTATGTCGATTGAGTTAGTTATATTCTGACTGTACCACTTATGGTTAATGCTGACACAGTGTGCTTTCACTGTCTGTGTCTCAATCATCTGTTTTCAGCATTATCGTCCCTGTTCCGTTTAAGTTGCGACGAAGTATGCACCAGTGTGCTTGGTCTGGAGAAACCTTGAGCCATGCGACCACGTACCAATCAGCCGAAACAGGTGCATTTTCAGTCTTTCTGAGGCCGTGACTTCGTGTTATGTTCGTGTGATGTATTCCAATAATGTACACGTGCGTCTGCTGTTCACCGGTGTTTGTGTGGCGACCGTTTCCAGAGTCGTTGAGTCCAAATGGACCCATTGTTCCATTGAATGTAACTGATTCGTTGTGTCAATCGTACGTTTTTTGATTCACAGAAGCTGCAGTCGAACGAGATCTGAGTTGCCTACTACGTGATCTTGAATTGGTGGAACAAAGAATGAAAGAGTTGGAGCAGAGTGGCAACACGTTCACGAGAGTAAGTTGGCCTGCTTGTTCTGCCCGTATGCCTTACATGACAAACCCGATATCCGTTGGCATTTTCATAATGAATATCAGTAAGTTCGGAGTGCATATTTAATCAAAACGCACCGTATCGTCTGACTCTTGTTTGCAGCAGATGAAGTTCGATGCAGTCAACTGGCCCACTCAAAATTGTCTGTCAACTCTACGAACTTTTGTTCCAGAATGTGTGCACTCGTGCGTACAAAACACAACACGATGAGCACAACTGGGGAACATCTTTGAGGCACTCGCTGCGGGAGTGGATTGTGCTACACGACTCCAACGCAGGGCGGAGATTCACTTTGAAGTGAACCTCAACCAGTTAGGTCACTGGGACTGCATCGGAAGCAGATTCATGTTATGTGTCGCTCTCTCGGCGCAGTGCGACCCAAGATTGGTTTAGCATTTTTGTGCACCCCACCCTACAACACTGAGATGTAAGCCGACGCCCCTACCCCTCGGTTAGTTTGAGGTAGAAGCTTCGACTGACATCCCAAAGTCCGTGTTTCGAATTGCAAATAAGTGCTAAACCGGCGGTGACGTGCTGTGTTGACAGACGGAAACATCCAGCAATCAAAAGCACAAGAACAAGCAACTTTTCAGTGGGATATACTACATTCAGTATATTTAGCATGTTCCCTTCAAACGGTTGGCAGTGACATGTCAATACCAGAAATAGACGGTTAGTTGTGCCGGCGAAGCTGATGTACCTAACCAAGGCAAAGCAAGGTTAGCCACAAACTCAAGATGTTTGCATAGGTTTGGATTCAAGCGCTGGATGGTGGAGGCCTTAGCAGAACGCAACGAGTTGGGATTGTTCTGTTTGTTTGTAACCTTAAATGCCTCGCAGGAGGTTTAGGTACGTCGAGCAGTCGAGTAGGTGTCGAGCAACAGAGCTAGCAGTAACATCGTACCACTGAAAGCTAGGTCCTGCGGAATAAGCGCCAAAATTCGAGTAGATAACCTCTCTGCCCGGCCGATGTGCACGGTACCGCAAGCACAGTTGAAATGGTAAATACAAGGGGCGGTGAATGAGAGTGAGGCCTATCTAAATTGGATTCACTTAGTAACTTTTCGGTTTGGTGGAGAACCACAACCTCAGCTGTCTAAAAGCACTTCTTTATGGCGTAGAAGAATGGAAGGCAGAAACGCCCATCCTTTTTTCCTCTTTAGAAGGCAGTGTGATGAATAGTTTTGCGTTGAAGCCAGCCCGCTTTTCTCGCTGTACAATTTTCCCTCCAAACCTGGCAATAAACCCTTTTCCCGTAGGGTGAACTGCTTTAGTGCTTTCTCAGTCATCTCTTCTTAACAGATATGGCGGGTTCTCACAAAAGTGGCACGCTTGTAGTTTATAAAAACGTAGGTGTTTGTTAGCCCTCGCTGGCAAAACGAACCTTTCAGTACATTCGGCAATCTCCGGATGAATATGGGCTACATCGTGTCAGCTTGCTAAGCGAATGTGTCCTTCGGTTGTTTTGAATAACAGCAGCATTAGAGGAAATAGGATACCACATTCGACACATTGGGAGATAATTTGGGGCGCAGCATCCAACTTGCAGCACTCAAAGCTGACCGTTACGTTAAAATTCGAGGTGCTGATCCGCTTGTAATTCGTGAAGTCACGTACCTTATAGCTACTTTAGTTACGAATACATAATTTATCTTGCACTCAGCTGTCATTGATTTCCGCATCCACCGAGTTTCACAGTGCTTGTTCAAACATGTTCTCAAGGATTTCAACAGCTAGCTGCTATGTAATCTCCCTGTGCTAACTAGTCTGTTTGTGGAGCGCTTTCTAATTCATCCCATGCAGTAAGCTGGAAAACTCATCGTGTTTGTGCCATTTCAGAGGTACAGCTTGGCCTCATCTCCGTCGTCCGATCAACCAGCGGTGACTGCTCACTTGCAAAGTTGTCAGCGGCACGTCACACGGGAGGACGATACACGAATCATGATTTCGCAACCAACCGGAGACAAGGGCTTCATCTCCGCCCAGTGGGCAGCTGAGCTTAATAGAGACAGGCCCTACCTCTCACCACCTTTTCCCCCATCCGATTCCCCTTCTCCGTCAATGTTGCCAAAAGCGATCTCGCAGTCCAAATTGACGGCACTGCCGCCACCCCCGGCCTCCTTCGGCGCTGGTGATGCTTGTGTGAGCACACCGAATTCACCTCCGCCGCTCCCACCATCCGCCTCACTTCAAAATCAGACCGACGTTGGATTTTGGCTCGTGAGGAACAACATTTCTCAATATCCATGCAGCCAAAAGATAACTACGAACGATGAGAGAAATGACGTCGATCGCGGTCAGTCTATTTATCGAAACGACTTCGAAAGGTTGGCTTCACCGTATGAACAGTTTGACCATTCCAAGCAGCCTATTAGCAACGCCAGCCAACCCAGAAATGAAAGGATCACAATCCCCACACTTGTAAGTTGCCAGTGTGTCAACTGCAATCTCTATTGGTATAATTGACAGTGTCTCATTTGTGAGCCCCACCTTCTTCAAAACTAAAACCTTTTATTAATTACGCATGTGAATAGCATGTTGCATAACAACTGAACTATTTCCTCCTCGTACCTAACGCATAGCACTTAGCTTCACCGCCGGTTCCGTTCAAGTATGAGGTTATCTAAGTACTCGTTGCATTGCAAAACTCCGGTATCGCCAGTAGTTACCATCGTGGGCTAGTTTGTGGTAACCGTGTAGTGGGGATGTTAAGGTGCTCGGGGTTCCGGCACGTTTAGAGCCCGACTTTCAAAGATATCATCCCATTCCGAATTCCTGGTCTGTTGGAAAAAAATTGTGCACGGCTTGCATATACTCCAATAATTCCAACAAACTAGCGCTTCTATAACCACTCCGTTTAACCGCTCCTTCAGTTTTAATGTCCGCAGCTGCAGCCCTTCTAAATTATTTGAAACAGGAAATCCCTTTCTCGGAATATGTTTGGAACCGACTGGGATTTCATGATTTCAGAAGGTTTTGAATACAACTCGGTTCTTCAGGCCAGAAGCTCTTGTGTCAAGGGCGAAAAGTTGCCACAATAAAACCCTACCAAAACCGGTTTGTATTCAAAACTTTCTGAAATCATGAAATCCCCTTCATAATTCCAAAGAAGAAAATCTGAAGACGTAGTCTATGATAGGTTTTGGCCAATTCGTGCAATATCAATCCCAAACATCAAACGGTGGTAGGTAAACATAGACATTGTCATATGATATCGTAGATGGCCAAGCACTCACGCTAGGTGGGCTTAGAGCCAGAATCAACTGTTTTTGGTTGCGTAGCGGTTGTTGTTCGCGATCGATGTCCTCCAATCGTCTAAATATCTGGGGGCACTGATCGCGCATGAGGACCGTGTATGACTCATCAAGATTAACTCGGTGCCCGGTGATTTGTGACTCCCAAATTATCTCCGTTTCCCCATTCGACCGATTCCGTCATCGCTTGGAGTGTACAATGCAGTGGAACTGCGACTGCTCACCTTGACTAGACATATACCTATGTGTACTAACTAACGCACTGAGGACGAGGCGCTGCATGTTCCACTGTCACCTTGGAGACAACTATCTTGGGAGCACTGATGGAAGTCCGGTATCAGAGTCAATGAACACACCCCCAGTGCTCTCATGTAAACACTTCTGTCCCAGCTTGTCGGTTGTGTTTTCATTACAGTCGTGGGGTGCGAGCAGTTGTTGACCACACAAGTTTGTTATGATAACGGGCACAGTACTGGACCGTTCTGCACAGCACAATGCGTAGAATGCCCTGATGATGCTGTTGGAGAAACGGATCGATTGGCCCTGATCCAATCGAACGTAGATGTATGCCGTTCGAGCCAAACGCGCCAGTTAATTGCATTTGAGTGGAATGACATCTGAGGTGCAGTAAAGGTTTAATTAGTTTCACTAATTAAGTTTATCCCGAGATAAAACCCGTTTGATTTCCATTCATCCGCACTAAATCTTTTTTTTCGACTTCTATAAGAACTATTGCCCTGTTGAGTCATATATACTACTGTTCTCTTTGTTCTCACTACCGAATTGGGCGGAAGCAGCTCGCGAGTGATAGATTAGGCACAAACGTGCAATTTGACTCTAGGGCATTGTCTTCCATGCGCATTACCATGCGTAAATTTCGGCCTGTCATAATGTTATATTCCCGGTAAAATCTAACCGCTTAAACAGTGGTAACCAATGCTGTGTAACCCAACGGACGGGGTGGGTGACATCATTGGTTGCTTCTGCTTGCTACCGATCCCCATTTCGTTTTTTTTCGTGGCATCTGCACTAGGTAACCTCGCTCGTTTACGACTTGTCGTTAATAACTTCGCTTGGTTTACTCCTAGGGATCAACCATTTGGCTGCTTTCTACTTATTAGTATTTGGAGTGCGCCTCACGTCTTGCTGTTTGTTATCACACACGTTTCCGTGGCACCTGCGCATGGACATAGCAAGTGGTCTACTTGCCACAAGCACAGAGTAGACCTTAAGCGGCGATTTGTCAGCACGTTTCAGGGACTCTTTTCTAAGCATATTGAGTCGACGAAATCTCTATCAAACGAATTTATTCGCATTAATAGTGAAGGGCCAAAGTTAGCAATTTCAGTCCACCGCTTAATTGGCCTAGAGCTGGACATTACAAGTTCAAGTAAAAGGATTATGAGTACGTTTAAGCTACGACCACTTCCACTTCAGCTTTTGTGTATCGCATTATCCAACCATACAACCAAGGACTAAATGTTTCCATCATACTCAATGTGAAGCGAGCTTGTAGCTCTACGTTGAAGAACTCGGGTTGCAACGCTGGACGACCATCTGCCTAGTTGGATACTCCCCATGACAACGGCGTAACTTGCACCCCTCCGATACGCCTTCTCCTGGTGACGTGACCTAATACCTTACCGACTTTGAGTAGTAAATAATTTGTAACCCATCCCCCGATTAAAGCGAACAAAATTAGTATAGCCGACGTCATAGATATCCCAAATTGACTTTAATGGAATTAATTTCTTAAGTTAATGTATTTGCACAAGGAATCATTGATTGATCCACATGATGAGTTGTTCCTAGGCACCGTGGCTAAGGTCGTTGAAGCACCAGCCGATTTTGTTCTGACGGGCGAAGATGACACGGCTTAGTATTGTGGCTTCAATTTCTCGCCTTCCTCCTGTCCGTATTCAAACGTGTACGTGTACACTTACGTGCGCACGCGCACACAGTAGCACAGTTTTAGTGCTCCTTGCTTTCTTGAACTTATTCCACACCATCTTATTGCGCACTAAGCAATTCACTCTTATTCGACTCAGATTTACCAACTCTGTGCGGTGGATTGTTAGGCACAGATTATTCCCTCGTTTCACCATTTCATTCATCTAGCTAATTTGGGAACAGTTTTTTCCTGAAAAACGCGTGCAATCATTTACTTTTCCGATATACATCCAAAAGCCTACCATTATTCGAACAGATGCTCAGGGCCCTATACCAAGTTTATCCTCGGTATCCCACATACTGGGCGGCAGTTGCAGCCGCTTTTGTCACTGATGGCTGTGTGTCTGTGGCCACAGAACCAAACGTAACATGGGCTCACGAACCTTATCTGCTGACCAATTTCTGCGAAGTGGAAACAATCGCTGCACCCTTGCACTGTCGCGATGCAAGCTGTCTGGTATATTCAAGCCTCTGACCACCAATGGGTTTACCTAGCGCGCGTGGTTCGAAGGACGTAAGTAGATGTAACGGTGTCAAGTCGCGTTCCCGCTCCTCCCACAGCACATCCATCTAACTAATCGAACGTGTGTTAGCCATCCCTAGCGTTTATGAGGAGGTTTGGGGTTAGCCTGCTTTGATAATCTCTGCCTCAAACTAAATTCACAGACCTTCATTGAATTAGCGCTTACCATGGCACACCATCAATTATGCCCCTATTTTCCTTAGAAAAGTTTTCTGTATGACGAAATGCCATCCTAACTTGCATTTTACCATGCTCCCCTTAAAATACAGAAAAAAGCTAATTGGATATCCAAAATTTAAGAAGTGTTTTCTAACAATGTTTCCCAAAAGTGGATCATAGTCACCCCATATTACGGTACCTTATTTCTTCTGCTTACCTCTCACTGCCTTAAAAATGACATGCATTTGCTAAACGAAATTGCACACGTATCTATTCTCCAGATTGCTTGCAGTGGCACGATTACACTATGCATACCGTATCACGTGTGGCCAGATAGGCAAGTGAGCAAGGAAGGCAACCGTACACTCCAACCGTAAGCCTTCAAAGCTTCTCTTCCAACAGCCTGCAAGCGTTGCAGCCTTAACACATTCAACCAATCCGCTTCTTATTACTACGTGGTAGTGAAACCTGCTTACGCCAGATTGGCTTCATGACCAACCACGTATTGTGTCTCCGATTGGCTGATCATCCTCTACACCATAGAAGTGCGCTGGTACACGGGTTGCGATTAACGGATAGGCTAGTGACCGAGCCAATTGTACAGCGAACCCGCAAGCCTGCTACCAGCCTGCAGGTAGTTTTAAACAAGATGACAATCGTGCCAAAATGTGCTCTTGTTTAAAACTATCGGCACATTCCGTGCCGCACCAATGCACGCCTGAAGGAAAGCCGACACGTTCTCTCTGAAGTTAAACCTTCCAATCGACATGACCACATGCGTCCATCCGAACGCAGGCGCGCACAGCGTCACCCTTGTTACTCTTCTTTTTGGTGTGGCCAAAGATCCGACCCCAAAATGGACCGCGTGATACGCCGTGGACCCAGTGGTCCAAAGCGCACGAGAAGTTTACTCGGCTACGAGTGCGGACGAACAGGTAAACTACAGACTGAAGTGATCGACGGTACTGGTTCACCAGCCGTTTCCTTGCCGTGCTATCGTTCAACAACCTGGAGATGGGTACGATAATCTCGTAGAGAGCCATTGTGGCAGCTCCTATTACACAGCGCATGAGATGTGGCGGAATTAGCAACGCGTGCATGCGCGGCTGGCGTATCGCGCACGCCGTGGGATAGACGGCGCACACAGCCTAGACAAGAAAGGGCACGCGCTAGGCTGATTTATCTATGCCTATTCTGCGGTTGGCTAACCCACCCGTAGAGAATTCCAGAGGACCCTTGAAGGAAAAAGGGTTTTAGGGAGGCAAAAGGGGGCCTTGTTGTGAAAAGTGAGTCGCCATAATACGAGTAACAAAACTTATTTAAACTTTTTCTGTTTGTCCCCGCGCTACAACGTTCCCGTGCTGTGTTGTTTCAGTTGGCCGTACACTCATGTGAATAGCATAGCTACGTACTGCTAATGTAGTCGGCGCATTAACTACTGAGGTCAAGTTGGCTGGGTAGGTAAGAGCATCATTGAATCTGTAGCCATGGTTCCAACTAGGAGGTTTCGTTGTGTGGTGGGGACATGACATTAGTGAGTTTTCGTTCGTCTCCACACCTGTGGGCCACTTCGGTAATCAGTTACCAAGGAGCTGCGGTTATTTCAAGGTCGTAAGATGCATGTCAATCCTGCGTTTCAACATGATATTTGCGTTTCACTTCCATGTGATTGTTAAGCTTGAAATGCCAGGTGACCCTACGGCCCTGATATGCCCAGCCAACAAGCACTGCATACGCATTGTAAACATAATGCTTGGAGCAAATTTCCTCCTTCAACAATGCCTCCGGAACTACCCACTTTCCAATGACAACATGTTTCCGCGTAGTTGCTAACGCGATGACAACATATGTCACGGTGTGCACCCATGACTACTTCTAAGACCGGCTGCAACAGTGGTCCATAGCAGGATTAGTGGACGCGGTTGCCTTTGTAAATGATTGCAAACATGTTGTAGGAATGCCCGTGGGTGAGACAACAGTGTTCGTCTGTTCCAAGCACCCACCCGAATTCCCAGAATAACATGCGCGAACCGCCAATACCTATCGGTGTTTGCGTATTTTCTTGCAGGACGATGTGGCATTTATAAATACGGTAGTCATTGTAGCCCCTTTAAGTGTTTCTTTGTTGAGTAATGCCGATTTCATGAGGATAGCATTCCAGTCCATAGAAATAATAGGGAGGTTCCATCTGCGTTGACTATGCTTGTAAGGGGGTCATTTGGAGAGCCACTTGTCAAAACGTCACAACATCTATGGACGACCGTATGGATGTAAAGCCTAATCGTCCTATGAATACATGGGTTCTGCATCCTTCCTATGACATTTAAATAACACCATACCAGCTGACTGAAGTGACAACTGATTAACAAAGTCGCCCATGGGTGTGGAGACAAACGAACACTCACTAATGTCGTGTCAACGCCACACTTGGAATCCTCTTAGTTTGTGTTTAGTCATCAAGTGTGATAGAAGTAAGCACCCGTAGAACATTCGTTGTTCAGCTTCAGGTTGGTCTACCTACTTCAATGGAAACAATGTCCCCCATGGTCGTCGCAATGACAATCGCACAAAATTGTCCAACCGCCTAGCAGCCATTGCTGATTCAGCTTAGGGTGTAGCCACGGCGTATGCCTGAGCAACCGCAAATGTATGCCTGCCCGACTACCTCAGATCTAAGGAACTGCGGAATACCAGTCAGAAGATTGCCTGTCTACGCCACCATCGTAACCATGGTTAGACCGTTGAAAAAACCACCACCAGGTAGCAGCTAGCGCTCAATAAGTATAGACCGCTTCATGTGGTGGTTAGTATGTCTGTCCGCACTGGTTACGGCGTAGGCTTCGGATCATCTGGTATCTAGGATCTTCTCGTTAGACAGGCATCACAAGTTGCCCATTGGACGGTTTCAGTTTGGAGAGCCATCATTGGGGTTTGCTTCAGACGCGAAACAAAGCAGGACAGAAAGTGCTGCTCGACCACTTTCATTGGACTCTCTGTCGGTTATGCTCGGGGCTTCCAAACAGTGTCCCATTGGCTAAAGTCCCATGACCAATGAGAGTATTAACGACGCCGAAACAGCGTTCTTAGTCTCGCTAACTTGAATATGCAGCACGCGATTTCGAAAATGTGTCACGCTAAAAGCTTGGTACAATGCGGTTGTATGCCTGTAAAGTGGCCTGATGATATGATATGGAAGCAAATGTATCTAGCTTAGGTTCTTCACTTGTTGCTCTGAGTATTTTTTTCTGGGTGGTTTGACTGCGAACGTTTCGTCAACACTAGTTGTACCATCATTTTTGATCGTATGTAGATTTGGGCGGTGGGGTATGAGGCATAGTTGAGTGTGCGTTTTTGCTGATCTCTTTGGACGAGCCGTCAGTCTGCGTTTCGATCATTCGACGGGCGCATGACCAGCGAAATCGATCCCTTTGATTAGTGCCTCATAGCTTATGCACAGTTGTCTCTGCTGTTAAAGTCGTCGTTTGACGCATTTGTCCAGCGTTCTGTTCCGTTAGATTTAGTTGACTATTTCGGGGATCTTTCACCCCTAGGGCTGCATATATAGCATCTAGTTCAACGCGTCGGTGTATTCTATCGCCTGTTGGATACCTTGCTTCCAAGAATTATCTAGCTTACTTTGAATTTTCACTGGCTAGCACCTTTACGTTCTCTACGTCGAATTGGTGGCCTTCTTGGTCTTTTAGCATGGAGACCAGTAAATGTGGATCGTGTCTCCGTATGGCCACTTTGTGTTTTTTGCTTCGTGTTAAAGGTTTGCTTCCAGTTTGTTCGATGTAGTGATAATTTTATGGAGTTATCTTTTAATGTATACCTGTCCTCTTACTTCTCACTGATTAGGATGAACCGTACCATGGGCGTTTACATGTTTCTCCGGATGACAACCCTGCTTATTTGGTAAACTCCGCTCAAAGTCATACCTCTCCCGCGGGCAGTTCCTCAAGGCTCTTAGGGAAAACCTCTTGTGAGATGGGGCATCGTACAGATGAGCAGCATCCGGTGGCTATGGTTCACGCGGCCTCTCACGGTCACTCACATTCATTGGTGACCAAGGATGTGGATGAAGATGGGTCACTCAGTGACTTCAGCAGCTGCAGTCGGAGCAATCCCGCTGTTGGGTTCGACTCCAGCAAGACCCACACTCTCTCCCCTCGCGAACATCACTTGCTCAATTCATTCAGTCCAGAAAGTTCACTTTCGGGAAACTCGGTGAGTTGCTGGTTTCTTTCTTGGGGCTATTTTCTACAGGAATCTGTGCATCCACTCTGTTGCTTCCATGGATTTCATATGACTTGGGAAATAAGATAATGGATTACCTCGCTTTAGATAACAATTGAACAACAATCTCCACGTCTGTGGCCATTATTGTGAGGCTGCACATCATTTGTCATCGTTGCATGGTGAAGATTCTGTGCACTTGACTGGTAACTCACATCTTCCGGCTTCCTTGTAAAAATCTGCATGTTAACTCAGTTGCACTGACACGTAAGTATTTACTATTATGCCACATACCCACCAATCTGCTAGGCGGTCAACGCTAGGTTGTTCACAGCACAGACAGTCACATGATCTCGTAGAAGATCCTGGTATGTTACGACATTTGTTGGAAACCTTGCACATGCTCGACTATTAACAAACATATTCGCAACTGTCGCAATCCAAACACACTGTACCAATCCAAAACCCTACAATAAGCTTCTCTTATGTCAAGCTTTACTCGTGGAGCTTAAAGACTTAGCGATCAAGGCCTCAGCCCCCCACGCCCACGTTTTCACTCTCAGCTCAACCGGTCCTGGAATGTAGTGTTGAGAGTGATAGCATCGAAATGAGTTTTACCAAACTTTTCGACCACAAAATGCAAACGATGGTTTTGTGCACTTTATCGTAAAGGAATTAAGTCGTACGGTAGGTAACAACTGATCAGACACTAGCGCCCCGCTGGTGGTCGACCAAGTTAGGTTGGCAGTAACATTATCGTTCGCTTCACTCAAACGATCTGTTCTGTGGCTCGAACTGCAATACCAACTGGGTCAAGAACACATACGTCAGAACTACATCCAAGCTGCGACCATGTTTCAGCAGTCATTCTTGATGAGCTCAGATTCACACAAAGTGAGCCCATTTTTAATCCATTAGCGAGACTTATCTTTGAATTTATTACGTCCATACGACTTGGTGCGGTTCCTTTCACTGGATAGTCATAGGCTGTTCCCTCTCAACCGGGTACTGCTTCCAGTCTCCCTGAAGCGCTGACAGCCGTGACCAAAAGTGTCCATTCACTCAGCCCGGCTAAAAACGTTTCGTGGGCGATCAAGCGTTGGACTAGTGCACGGGGAAACAGGGTATGTCGGTGTACGGGGTCAAGCGGAACTTGCTATTTACCAAGTCTACCCTGTTCTGTCGATCTTCTCTTTCTTTGAAACCTTGGAGTAGAGCATGTTGGAAAAGCTGGGGATGGAATCCAAATTCTAGTGATTACCGCCAGATGCGTTCACCAATGGTCCACTCCTCCAGGACGAAAAAGGTTCGCCAAGGCAAGTTGTTGGTTTTGTTCCCGTTTTCGAGCTCGGGCAACATGGATGTCACGGTTTAAGAACAACTGCATCAGACGGCCATGTGTATGCCGAGTCGGGCCTTACGCGTCCTGAACTTGAAAGATGTTACGCTGCAGATGTTAGCCTCCCATCTCAGTATGACCATATTAGTGTTCATTAGAAAGCAGAACCCAGCATTATTCGTTGCTGTCACGGCCTTCCGACTGAGCTGTATTGCGGCGCAATGGCTGAGATCTTTCTCACCTCCGGCTAATAGACAACACATCAGTTGTATGACATTGAATTCTTAAATAGCATACATCAATACCAGAAATTAAAAGCGGTTGAAGCGAACAAAACCCTATCGTGTATCTTCAGTTACTTAACGGTTCGAGTACTTAAGTCCATAATGTGAATCGATTACGGTATGTCGCTCTCTACGCGGTGTCATCATCATCATCATCATCATCATCATCATCATTATACATGTCAGCTAGAGATGGTAAAACACCTCCGCTATTGTACCGCAATACATAAAGGAAATACATACATACATACAATACATAAAGGAAAAATAAATACGACAGTTGAATGCCAGCTGAGCTACCAGCAACGGATACGCATCGTTCCGGTAAGCTACTAGCCGGCTACTAGGCAAAAACAAAAATTTAATTACGTTTTACCCTACGAAATAAGATCGTAGATGGAGGGGGAGGCTAAAGGGATGGGGAGGGACAAAGAAACTCACAGCAGGAACGCCACTGAGGTCGGCTCCTTGCCATATCAGCAAGTGTATCCAGCCAAACGTGTTCACCGTCTTTTGGACCTCAACCAGGGAGCCGTGAAGCTCCAACTGAGGCCAGCTCCGAAGTGAGGGCCTTCATTCCTCTGGACCAAGTCATCGCTTGGCCACCTCTCCTCTTCTTCCACCCACATCCCCGGTGAGCAAACAACGCACGTCGAGGGAGTCGGTGGGCTGGCATGCGCAACACGTGGCCGAGCCATCGGAGCCTGGTGAGTGAAATGACGGTGCTGAGCGGTTCACTCCCTTTTCCTAGGCCGTAAACAAGGCGTCGAACACGCTCGTTACTCACGCGGTGTTCCAACCACATGTGAGCCAAACTGCGAAGGCACCGATGGTCGAACGTAAGTAGCCTCTTCATGTCCGCCGATCTTAGGGGCCAGGTTTCGCAACCGTACAGTAAGGTCGAACGTACCGCTGCATTGTACACTCTACCCTTCAGGGCGAGAGTAATGTCGCGCCGTCGCCATAGGTGGCGAAGGTTAGCAAAAGCACTTCGAGCTTTCGCTATGCGGTTCGTGATCTCGTCTTCGATCCCAAGGGCGCTGATACAACTTCCCAGGTAATTGAATTTCTGAACGACTTCTAGCTGATCCCCACCAAGGGTCAGCACAGGGGGCGAACCCTGCCAATCCTGGAGGAACGCTTTGCACTTCGGTGGTGCAAAGCAAAGCCCGAAGCGACTGACAGCCAGTGCTAATCTGTCCAGCGCGGTTTGACACGTCTGGGAGCTGTCACAGATGAGGGCAATGTCGTCTGCATACTCTAAGTCAAGAAGTCGTTCTCCTGGGAGTAGCTCCACACCTTCCAAGTCATGTCCTGTAAATGCAATCTCCATGACTTCGTCAATAGCGAAGTTGAATAGGAAAGGTGACAGCGGGCATCCTTGTCGCACACCGCTGGAGATATTGAAGGGTGGCGACAGCCTGCTGTAAGCCCTTACTCTGCCCGTGCTACGCGCATATAATGCTTGGATAATATTTACATATTTCTCGGGCACACCTTTCCTGAGTAGACAATTCCAAAGGGCACATCGATCAACCGAATCGAAGGCACCTTTGATGTCGAGGAACACGACTACGGTGGGCCGCCAATATGTGTGACGGTGCTCCAACAACTGACGCAAGGTGAAGATGTGGTCGATGCAGCCACGACCCCGACGAAACCCGGCTTGCTCCTCACGAATCTGGCTTTCACGAGCGCCAGTCAGTCTGTGGAGAATTATGGACGCGAGTAATTTGGAGGCGATGGAGATCAGACTGATTCCTCTATGATTGCCGCCTTCCGAGCGCGAGCCGCCTTTGAAGATGGGAACAATAACGGGGCGGCTCCAGTCGGTTGGGACAGTTTCCTGCTCCCACAGTTTCACTAGTAATTCATGCAAAGCATCAACAAGAGCAGAGCCTCCAAATTTGAAGAGGGCTGGAGGAAGATCATCTGGTCCTGCGGCTTTGTTCAACTTCAACAGTCCGATCTCACGTTCGACTTCTGAATGAGAGAGTGGATCCAAAGGTACAGCCCACGGAGCGGGGCGATCAGTGACCGGCGAATCGAACAATTCTTGCCGATTAAATTGCTTTTCAAAATTCTCAGCCCAACGCTCCAGACGTTTTGACAAATTGTGGATAGGCTGTCCACTCTCGTCACGTATAGTTTCACTAACACCAGGTCTCCTGCTGCCCGTTTCCCGTATCAGACGGAATAACTTACGATGGTTGCCAAGGACAGCGGCCACTTCCATCTCTGACGCACGACGAGACCACCAAGATTCGCGGTCTCTCTTCAGGCTAGCACGGAGTTTTGCCCAGAGCTCTTTGCGAGTTTCATTGTGCTCGCTTCCAGCCGGGATTTGCCGGCGAGCATCTATAAGTTCCAGAGACTGTGAAGAGACCCAATGTCCATGTTGTCTATTAGACATACCACATGAGGATTTGCCTGCTGCTAGTAAGGTCTGGCGAACATGTGACCAGTGACCATCAATTGTCTCCTGTGAGCGCTTGCTCAACTCGCATGTTAGCGTACGTCGATACGCATTCAGAACAGCTGGTTTTGTCAGTTGGCTGGTGTCAATACGCTCACAGCGTCGTCGTGGGCGTCCGCCAAAACGCATCCGCATGTCAGCACATACAAGTGCATGATCGGTGGCCACACATGTGCTCCAAATCGAGCGACAATTCTGGATGCAGCCTCTCCAGCGGTAACTTATCGCAATGTGATCGATCTGCGTGCAAGGCTGGTTCGAGGCTGGTGGGCGCCAAGTCACCCTTCGGCGGGTGCTGTGCCGGAAATTAGTGCTCGCAAGAAATAAGCGAGCATCTTCACACAAATGAAGTAACCGCTCACCGTTACCATTACGGGAGCCTACACCGTGTTGACCGCCCAGATGCAGTTCATCAGTGGACAACTTTCCAACTTGTGCGTTCATATCCCCCGCCAGCACAACAGTGTCCGTGCTTCTTCTGTGGCGAAGGAGCTGGGTCAGTTGGCGGTAGAAGTCGTTCTTTACCGAATCATCGCTACAGTTTGTGGGCGCATAGGCAGCGATGATGAATAGACACCTATTAGTCCCTCGCGACTTCGAAGATTTAAACGAGCCAGCCAATGGGACCGCACACATCCGGCTACTGATTGGAATCCAATCAACCAGAGCAGCTTCAGCCCGCGGACTCAGGGCAATGCCAACACCAGCTTGGCCGGTGCTCGAAGCTGCATCGTCACCGGATAGGCGCACTGAGAAAATACTGTTTGCGTCACCTGAAGGGGATCGCAGAGTGAGCACAGAGCTCGAGTCTCGCAGGCGGGTCTCTGATAAGCAGCAGATATCGATCGAGAGGGTCTCCAATGTTCGGGCAAGTGCTGCCTGTTGACCGATT